GCGCCGCTGCGGGGCTCGGTGGCGGCCGAAGCTGGGCAGGGACGCCCGCTGGCGGTGCCTTCGCGCTCGCTCGCACACGCTCGCACCCCGAAGACTGGGGCAGACGTCCGGCGGTGTCGGTGTGGAGATTAAGAACAAGGTGCAGACAGTGCGAGGAAGAAGAGGTGATTGACGTGGAGGGGCGGGCGGGAGTCGGTTGCTCCCCGGGCAGAGGGGCGGGGCGACGGGAAGGGGCGGGGCCCGGAGGCGCGCGTTGGCCCTGCCCTTCGCGCCGCGGTTGGTGCTGGTGCGCGTGCGCACTGGGTAGCGTGGCAGCTGTCTATTTTTTTCAGTCCCTCTGGCTGTTTTCTTACTCTGTTTTCCTTGCTTGAGCCTCGTAAAGCTCGGAAGCTTGGTAGGGTGTTAAAAACCCGCGTCCAAGGGATCTTCGCGGGTGAGGACACTGGCGAGGGCGCGTCGCCCGGGTCCTGCCCAGGCCTGGCGCTGTGCACTGCGCGCACGCGCGAGGCGACCCGGCCCAGAGCCCGGGCAGCTCCGAGACGGCGGGAGCCGGGCTGAGAGACGCGGCCGAGGGGCACCCCGGCAGGCGCTGCGCGTCTCGGCGGGTGACACCTGTGGCCGCGTGCGGAGGTAAATGGGAAAACCCGCGACCCGCTGCGTGGCCCCGTCCCGCTCCGGTTCCCCTTCTCGCGATAAAGTTACACGCCGCCGGTGGAGCCAGTCGCTGAATGAAAACATTGAGACGCGAACAGCTGTTTTCTGTGTGCGTGTGGCCTTGACATTTTGAGTTTCTGGGGTTTAGTTTTTGCTTTTGTGAGACAGTTTCGGTCCAAGAAAGCGAACGACACGGGCTCTAGAGGCCGTTGTCACAATGTCCGCCTCGTAGGCGCCCTGGGCTCGGATATTACGTGGAGGTCAAGGGTGTCTCGGCGCGGATCCGCAGTGCTTCCCCCGCGAGAGTGTTTATTGCTTAGTACACTAAGCACCCTTTGCTGATTGCAATTCATCTTAGACCCTATTACTCCAGGTAAAATGCCGTTATCGCTCAGGGGGCAGAAAGGTGCAAATACAAGTCATCCTTCGGTTGAAACCGAACAGCTATCAGAAGAGTCCTCCATTGCAGAACCTCTGCAGCGGTGTGTTTCCAGGAAAGTGTGAGTGAGTAAAAGAAGCCCCTCAGGACCAAAAGACTGCAGGCTACTTTGCTTTCCTCTCGGGTTGTTTCCCCTTTTCTCCCCAGCAGCGCCACTCCCCACCACCACCATCACATTCTGTAAAAGGTGTCGAAGGGCCTTAACCCTGAAAGACATTCTCACATCTCCCCAGGTGTTTAGTCAAGGCTAACATATAATGAATGTAAGCAAAAAAGCCCAGCAAATCACTTCCGAGTAGTGAACCTGTCTCCGTGCATCTTACCGAAGCATCTTTCCTTGACACAAACATTTCCCTCAATGATGAAGGAAAAAGGGAAATAAATATCGTAAAAAATGTTAAGTCAGAGTGGTAGAGCGTTTGCCTAGCCTGACCAAGGCCCTAGGTTCCATCCCTCCTGACACTGCAAAAACAAAAATAAAGGGCTGGGGATTTAGCTCAGCGGCACAGCGCCTGCCCCGCAAGCGCAAGGTTGTGAGTTCGATTCCTGGTACCGGAAAAAAAATAAAATAAAGTGAAGTAATGTGTTATCCTCACAGACTTAAATTCAAATACATGTAGATAGGGTTTTCTAGCTGTTCACTGATTTACAGTAACACATATATTACTGTGTTAAGTTCCAGACACTACTTTGCACTGGAGATTTAAAGTCCCCATAGTTGTAAGTCATTCGTGTTGGGGAAGCTGACACATTAACAGGAAATTTTACAGAACAAACCAGTAATGAAAGGTTATACAAAACAGTAATAATGTCTCAGAGGATAGACCTATGACACTGGCATTTTTACTTAAGCCATTGGACATCACCCCACTGTTACAAGTTGCTTAGCACTAAGACTGGTGAGGAGAGAGTCATTGTGGATCTTAAAGAAGAGCTAATAATGTGAGGTTTGCTGACCCCGAAAGTCAGATTTATATATAGGGTGTTCATTGTTGGCTTTTAAATTTTAAATAGTAAATGCATCTCAGTCCCTTGGGGGAAAAGGTAATTGTAACATTTAGAATAGTGGATGTTACCATAAAAAGGTTAATTAAATTCAGGTTAAGTTTAAATCAACTCCCAGAGTTTTTTTTTTTATACCAAATCAAATGGGTAGACTCATCCAAAAAACTTTTCTCATTTGCAATCATATTGACATGAGAGAAAATCATTTTTAAATGGTTGGCAATGAAAAAATACAGAGAAATTAAATCTTCAATAATTGTTCTTATTTCCTCAGAAGACTGGGAAAGACACTCTAAAACAGCAACAGAACAGTAGTACTTAGCCTCCCTCAGAGACCCACACACCCAGTGTTGGAAATAGAACCCAGAGCTTGACACAGTCATTATACCATTAAGCTGCATCCTCAGCCCTAGCCATGTTTTAAAAACAGCTTTATAGTAAGTCAAAGTTTGCAACAGAATTGGCAACAGAACCTACCTTTGAGGACTTCATTTCTGAAGATATTTCTTCTTTGTCAGATAGTGCAATTTCTTTATAAATTAGAATGTAATAGAAAATTTCTTCGTTGCGAATAGTACTCCAATAAACATGGGAGTGCAGATCTTTCTTGGGCATACTGATTTTATGTCTTTTGAATATATACTCAGTAGTGGGATTGCTGGGTCATATGGTACTTCTCTTTTTTGAGGCACCTCTTTACTGTTTTCCATAATGGCTCTACTAATTCACGTTACCACCAACATTGTCTAAAGATTCCTTTTCCCCCACATTTCTCATCAACATTTGTTATGGTATCTCGTGGTTTAATTTGCATTTTACTGATGATGAATGATGTTTAAGGTGATGGATATGTTAATTACCCAGAAGTCATTGCACAAATACCTATATTAAAATGTATCCCACAAATATGCATAATTATGTCAATAAAAATAAAATTAAAGAAAAATCTCCATAAAGAAGTGATATATCCAATTGAAACTTGTTTACACAAGTCCAAGTTTGACCAAGTTGGTTTAATAGTAGCAACATGTAAGTATAATTTGTTCTAAAACACTTGTTTATCTGCATACTTGTATTACTGCAAAATTAGTTCATTCTTAATAAAAAAAAAAAAGGTACTGGAGGTTCTAGAGACTATCTGTGTCTTTTCAGTATTAACACTTAATATTTTATCTGAATAAATCTTGTCACTCCACATTTTTTATGTTAGCGCAGGTAGATCCTCCTGTAAGATTCCTTATAGCTGTGTTCCCTTGAACCTACACTTGAGCTTGCTGTGTATCTCAGGCTGTCCTTGAACTCTTGATCTTCCTGCCTCTGCCTCCTAAGTACTAGGATTATAGGTGTGTGCCACCATGCCAGGCTCCTTTGTCTCTTTTCAAATTCTTTTGAGCAGCTTGCTCAAAAGACAGCTATCTCAATATTTAAGAAAAGTACTACTATTTGGTGAATTAATTAAATTTGATTTTACATATTTCAGTACACACTTGTATTAATAGCTACATAACATTTTAAGAAAGGTGTCACATTTAAACATATTTAATAAGATATAATTAGTAAAATCTCTTATCTTTGGGGACGGCCAGTATTGGGGTTTGAAGCCAGGGCCTTCATACTTAACTGTATCCCCAGTCCTCTATTTTTTATTTTGAGACAGGGTCTCACTAAGTTAACTGAGCTCACACTCGCCATCCTCCTGCCTCAACCCCCCAAAGTGCTGAGATTTCAGCTGTGTGCCATCACACCCAGCTGCTCATATTAGTGTAAAATAACCTTGATTTTATGTACAGTAGTAGGATCATCTTGGGCCTGACAGGCCTCCAACCTTTCAATGACGTCTACTTTTTACTGAACTACATTTATCTCCATTTTCCCATCTTTCCCTCTCACCCTCTTGCCCTCTTGCCCTCCCTTCACCTTTCCCTTCCTCCTTCTCTCCTCCCTCCCAACTCTATCTCTCATTTAGATGCTCATCCCAAAGAGATGCTTGCTTATTTGCTCATTGCCTCTGCCCCTCTTGAGGCATTTTGATTCCCTTTCATCACTTTTCCCTTTGTTCCTTTCTTCAAAATGCTGTTTGGATACCAAGGATCATGCCATTATCTTCACCAATGATGAATGCTTTCTGCCATTACTAATAGTATTCCATATATCAGTTCTCCATAAAATGGTAAATAAGGTTCTTCTTAGTCTCCTCCTACCTCCCACCTCTTTCTACACTCCCAATCTCAAGTCCCTTAATTCCTAAACATTTAGATCCTGAGAAGGTTTTCAAAGTGATGCTTTGAAAGCCACCTAGAGTTAACAGAGAGAACCAGGTATATGGAGCCTAAACTAGAAAGCCTTTTTTATCTGTCTTACATATGGCCCATCTAGTTATCCATCCAGTAGCCTTCCTTTTTTCTTCAAACAGTGCTCCTTTTCTCTGAGGAAGCTATTCCTGCATGTGCTATACACAGTTACAGGAGTAGATGCAGCTCAGGAGAATCTCTTACCTTGGCTGCCAGGGTAGGCATATGACTCAAGCCAGAACAAACAATTCTTTCATAGAATATTTTTAGGTGGAATTTCAGTGGTAGAGCCACCAAGGAATTCTGAGTGGCCAGTGCCTACATACTCCATTGTATAGAATGAAACCATCACAAAGATGATGAGTATACAGAGCAGTTCATGGCAGTGCAACAGACTCAGGTTCCCCTTATGATTGGGGTCCCAGCTGCACCTTTTCACATAATGTAGTTAAATGAATTAGCACATGCTCTTCACTACCTGAACTGAGCTTCTGCAACCAAAACAACCTAATATATTGTGTTCCTGCATGAGAATTTTTTCAAAGGCTACCTACTACCCAATAAGTTTGAAAATCTTTGTGCCAGACTACAACAAATCGTTGCTGTTGGTTGAATCATAATCTACCAAGCATTGGAGATCGCCGGGTCCTACAGCATTTTCCACATGAGGAAAATGAGGCAAAGTGACTTGCTGAACATCACCCAAGTAGTCAGTGATGCTCAGTGTTAGAAGCTGGTCTCTAAATACCTAGTTCAGTTTTGCTCTTTATTGTGCTGCTCTGCCTAATTCTTCCCAAAGGTATTCTTAAGAGGCAATTATCTAGAAATACAATCTTAACCTAAAAGAATACATGACGACAATGGCGGTTTCAGGCACTGACTGTAGTCAGAAGATAGTTGGTGCCATTTGTCTTGGTTACTTTTCTCTCATTGCTGAGACAAAATACCTGACACCCCAAATTAAGGAAGGAAAGGTTTATTTAGCTCAGTTTGTGGAGGTTTCAGTCCATATTTGGCTGGCTGCAAGGCAGGGTGGCACATGGCAGAGGGCAACAGTTCATTGTGGTGGAAAACAGCAAAAGCAACAAGAGCAAAAAGGGAGAAGTGGCCGCAAGCAGCCTGCTTCCCCCCCTTACATAGTATGCAAACTACCTGTCCCAGGGTGGGTGTAGCACTCACACCCATAATCCCAATATTGGACCATGAATCAATCATAAACTCTAGAAGCCCACCCTATGACTTCACGAGGCTTTGAGGAGACATCCAGACACAAACCATAACACCATGGGAGCCGCAGTGGACCCCTTTACCTCAAAACTTTTCCTGTGAAAAGTTTTTCAATGTTGCCTCCAAATATATTCAAGCCTTAGATGGTCACATCAACAAGTTTTAACTACCATGTGTATGCTTATGACCCTCAAATCTACCTGTAAAGTCTAAAGAGTTCTTGCCACTCATGCAAATCTATATTATAAGTTTTTTCCTGGATATTTCCACATGATCAATATTTATAAGCTAAGCTCATTGTCTTTCCTCCAAAAGCTATTCCTGATCTTACATGACCCTCTGCTGTTAAAAATGCTACTATCATGCTAAATAAAGATTATGTAACCATGTTGAATTGTTAGATGCAAAATCCAAGTCATACTTAACCTTTCTCTCCCATCCTCACCAAGAGCTACCAGTTCTACCTATTAAAATGTTCTTTCTTTTGACAGAAGGGAGAGGAAAGGGAAGTAAAAAGAATTAAGATGTGTTATGTACATGTACCAGACTCCCACAATGAATGTCATCATTATGCACTGCAAACATGTACTAATAAAAATATAAGAATTTTTTAATTTAAAAAACTATTCACTTTATTCCCTTCACCCCAAAGCAATGTGTCTTTCCTCAGCCTATAACTTTATGCATGATCTTTTGTATTTTGTTTAATAATGTATCCCAATCAGTGCTAACCCAACATCCTCCTCAAAACATTTTATTTATATTACTGTGCTCTATAAATGACTTCCCACAATTTATAAAATAAAACCTCATTTCACAAGCACATGTGTCCCTTAATAATCTGTCTCTTTGGGAATGGGAGGAGAAATACTGGGAGTTGAACTCAGGACCTTGAGCTTACAAGACAAGTGCTCCTACCACTGAGCACATCCCAGGCCTGAACTGCTTATCCTCAACCACCCTCATCTGAAGCCACTTAACCACCAACCTCCCTCTGCCTTTAATGAACTACTTGTTATTTCTGAAACAGGATATGCTCTCTTAAAATGTCTCTGTGGAAACTATTTCCTCAGCATAGTAGGCTGTTTCCCATTTTTGCCCTCTTGTTGAAATCACTGTTAGGCTAATGATCCACTCACTTCCTCGCTGAAGCTCTCTAAAGACCCTAGTAAGATCTCCCTTGGCATATTGTGCCCACTGCTATTATAGTAAGTAAATTAACTAGTATATTTTCCCTGTAACAAGTTTGACTTCTACAACCAAAACATTTGAACTACTTCTGTATGGCTACGTGTTATTTTAAAGAAAGCTAACTAACTGCTGCTAAAATAAGATTGGAACTCGGTGAACTAAACTACAATAAGGCATTGTTATTGGTGAATCATAGTCTTTAGAAAGGCACCCCATTTGTGGAGGTGAATTGGGAAATGTTCCCTCTCTGGGTGGGTGCAGTCTGTCAAAACACAGCCTCCACTCTCCTCTTAGCTAGATATGGCAGTGTAATATGAGAACTGAAGAATCATGTGGCAGTATAATTATAATTACCTGGTGTGTATATATCTGTCTTGACATCTATATTGCAAGCTCTGTCTTTGGCATGCCACAGAGTGTCTGATACATTATTCTGAAGGAATATTTGACTAATTGATAGTAGCACTTCTCAAGGCATACCACATAATCTTAATTTACTAACAATTAGCTGTGAGTAAAAGAAATCAGAGCCAGGCTTGGTGGCACACACCTGTAATGCCAGCATTCAAGAGGCTGAGGCAGGAGAATCACTGGGAGTTTGAGGCCATCCTGGGCTACATAGTGAGATCCTGTCTCAAAAAGCTAGGGAGAAAAAAAGAAACAAAAGAAAAAGGAATTAATCAGATGTACCAGTACTTAAACTCTATTTTTCACTTAAAAGAAGTCTGAAAGTCATCAATGCATGGATGAGTGATGCCTCCATGGTCAATAGGGACAGGGTTCCTTCTCTCTGGCTTTTTTTTTTTTTTTTTTTTTTTTGGATACTGGAATTGAACAGAGGGTTTTTGCACTGAGCTACATCCCCAGCCTGTTTCATTTTTTATTTTGGAACAGGGTCTCACTAAGTTGTGCAGGTGAGACTCAAATTTGTAATCTTCCTGCCTCAGCCTCCCAAGGGCTGGAATTACAGGCATGCGTCTACAGCACCCAGCTGGCTTTGCTGAATTTAGGGCATAATTTGCTTTCCCACTGCATAGTCCAACATGGCTGTCCAGGCTACCCCACGTGGCTATGTAGTTTGTTGATTGCAAAAGCACCTGATCAAAAAGTGCAGAGGGGCTATGTGCTCCAAGGGACTGCATGTACGTGGAGGAGGAATGTTTCCTGACACAAATGCAAAGATGGATACTTCTTTCTATTTTGTTCAAAGGCACCAAGTACATTAACAGAGATATTATGGCCATAATATCTGGCTCTCCAATCCATTTTTCTGGCAAGAAAAAATTACATCCACCCCTGGAAGGCCTGCCCCCAAAGAGATTTACTTAGTGTTCACTGACCAAAAAATGAGAGGTCAAAGGGAGCTGAAAAGGAAGCTGGGAATCAGTGTTTCCAGTAAACACATACTCCCATGAGTGAAGGACTGGGCAGATTGAGTGTAAGTGCAGCATGGGTGCAAATGATCACTTCAACATCAAACAGCTGGGAAGCCCAAGGAAACAGCTACTGAATTTCAAAACCAGAAGTTTTAACTGCAGCAGAGCAAACATATAATTATGCTTATCTAAATTAAAGCATGATATTCTGAATAAAACTTTTCTGGTCTGTTTTTTAAAGCCTCTAGCTAATTTTTTTCTCTTTTTTCCCTTTATCTCTTTATCTCTCTGAAAGGTCAGGAGAGTTTGTTTTTGATATACAAAGAACATCTATATTTAAATTCTGACTTGTCAAATAGAAGGATTTCCTTACTCTGCAAGTTTAAAAAGGACCGTTCCTTTTAGGAAAAAGTTCCCTCTCTTCTCTCAGGTACCACTGAAAGTGTAGGACTGTGTGTTTTATTTGCAGACCCATGTTTCTAAGCCAGTGATAAGTAATAAAGGCTCCCCACTATCTTTCAGTCTGGGATCGTTTTAATCTGGACTCAAACATTTCCTAGCTCAGCAAATTTCTCCTTCATTCATCCCAGGTTCTATTCAGACTTGTTCTCTGCACATGCCCTGACTTTCCTACTGTATTCCTTTGTTCACATTGTTCTCTCCCCCTTATGAACCTCCCATTCCCACATGATCAAATAAGCACATCTGTCCAGTGCCTGCTCCATGGTTCCTTCATGCCACCTTTCTCGTGCCCCGCGAACACGGCTATCTTATTTCTCTTGGGGGCACCCACAGCACTGTGAGGGAAGCCAGGCTGATGTACAGATTTGGCACGGTACAAATACCAAGGCTTTTTGTGTAAAACAAATCTGAATACAGATTCTAACTCTGCCATATATGTGACCCTGGGAAAAGGTATTTCACCTGAAATGTGGGTATATCCATGTGCAGGACTGGCATGAAAACCAAGGAAATAGTAAATGTTAAGCTGACAATAGTGAGCACTCAATCTTTCTTGACTAAATAAATACACTTTGGATGGGCTTGTGCTGAGTTATATTGAATATTGTGAATTTTTAAAAGATGTCTTCAGGGGGTATCCCCCATGCTTTCCTTCATAAGATGTTATCAGCAGTAAAAGAAATTATGAAAAAAATATTTTGACATAATTAGAAAACATACCACAAGCAGAGAATACTTAAACATGTTTAATCTCTTTTTTAAAAGTCTCACAAATAATTTCCAGGTGACCATATCCTGAAAAATGACAGAAATTTGCTGATCTATGAGCGTATGTACTGGATTAAAATACAGGAGTAATATGTTCCACTTCTAATTTTACCATTAAATACTTTTGCCACCTTTGGCAATTTACCAGGATTTTCATTTCTCAGCTTTCTCTTCTATCAAAAGAGAAATAAAGACAGATTACTATATACACTAAACTAACTTGAAGGTTTTAATAAACAAATGAAAATATTATGGAAAGAATAACAAAATGCTACATATTATTATAAGTGTTATGTTTGTGTTATTATAATGATAGGCTAGAGGGCTGGGGTGGGGCTCAGTGGTAGAGCACTGATCTGGCAACAGGAGACCCTAGGTTTGCCCCTCAGCACTAAAAAAAAAAGTATGTTTCTTGACTCTTTTCCTGCAATGAATTCCTAAATTATCAGCTTTTGTGCCTTATTTTATGGCACACCATAGTCAGTTCCTCAGAACCAACCTACCCTCTTACCTTCCTCTTCTGTAACTAGTGCAGAATTTACAACGGTTTGATTGATGAAGTCATTGTTTTCACCTAGCTCTTTGATGGACAGATGTTTATATACTAATGCATGGGCTGATCCACATAACTGCCTTTATGCAAATCCCAAACCTCACTGTGCTCTCAGACTCAAGCACTGAAGAATGATTTGCCCTTCTGCGTTTCTTGTTCTTGTTTTTCAGGGTTACCTGCAGTTTTGGGCAGGAAGCCTGATTTAGAGCCTGAAATCACAGATTATATGGAAGATTTCATACTGGTATGTAACTGTTAATAAAATTATAGGCAGTTGCTATCAGAATGGTTTTTTTTCAGATGAAAATTTTCCATGATTTTCCAAATTTCCAAAAGAATGTAGGTGTTGAGCCTGTGAGTTTTTGATTTTATTGTATTGTATATTTTTTAATTAAAATAGTAGCACATTCAACAGAGAAGTGGAAAAAGTGCATAAAGAAACAAGGAGATGGAAATATGTTGCATATGTTATTAACTTTTGCTTCCTGAAATGCTATTCTGAAAGTATTACATTGTACCATAATTTTCCTAAAGTGTTGTAAGAAATGGATTATTTCATGTCATGTGCCCTAAATTTTCTACTTGAACCATTTCTTATATTTCTTTCAAAAATCAAGTACATTTTTCTAGTACATTCAGTATTTCTCTCTAAAATACTGACCATAACATACTAAAGAGAGCACTGAGCTATCTACACTGTTGGGCTGGGCCAAGAGGAGAATCTCTTCCACCCACCATTTCCTAGAGGAAGGAGAGGAACTAATTCCTTTTCTCTGTGTGTGTTTAGGACACAAGGAGAAGACTTTACTCTTTACAACTTATGAAAGACTCCCCGAAATATGTGATTCACAAAGGACTAATGAGACAGAAACAAGATGGTGGAGAAGCATTTTACAAATATCTACCCACAGCATCACAACCCAGCAAAACTAAGCTTTTGTTAGATTCCATTATGCATACATAGAGCCTGGTAAGTTGTGGGGAAATGGCACTGAGGGTCATGTGTATTTTTTTGTTCTTAATTGTCCTTTATTAATGAATTTGCATTGTAGAAAATTAGAAAATACTAAAAAGAAAAAGAAAATTGGAAAATACTGACAAGAAAAATCAAAACTGGCCTGGTGCAGTGGCATAGGCTTAGAGTCCCAGCAACTCAGGAGGCTGAGGTGGGAAGATTTCTTGAGCCCAGGAGTTTGAGACCAATGTAGGCAACAAAGGGTGACCTCATGTTAAAAAGTAATAAATTAATATTTTTTCTATGCTTAACACTTCAATGATACATTTATTTTTGATTGTTTATTGTTTAATGAAATTGATTCATATTATGTCTGCTGTTTTGTAACCTAGAACTTTTTGTTTCAATATATAGTATACACACACACAATATCTTTTAGAGCTGCTTTATCAAACCAGTCTTCAATCCAGGGTCACACACTGTACTCAGTTAACATAGCTTTCAAGTTTGTTTGTTTGTTTGTGAACCTGACTCCAGGACAGGAAAACTGTTTGGAAAAATGTCATACTTTCTAGTTTGTCTAATTAGTTAGACAAACATATTATTGTTTGATTTGCCCCACTGTTCTCTGTGTTTTTTTTTTTTAAATTTAGATGTTAAAGGTAAAGGTTTAATGGGTTCAAATTGAATATTTTTGCTAGAATACATAATAGGCACATACTATACTTCACCTTCTGTCCCAGTAGAAAACACATAATATCTAGGTGACTCACAATCAATGTATTTGAATCCTGAATTAGGGTGATGATGGTTTTTCTCAGAAATGACTTGTGCATATTAAGTTAATAGTTTGGTAAGATATAGAATTAAGTGTTATTTTTGTTCTGACAGACTTCATACACTGTGAAAGAAGCTTTGGGTTGGGGATACAGCTCAAGGTTAGAGTTTGTGCTTAGACTGCATAAGGCACTGGGTTCCGCTCCTAATACAAAAACAGAGGAGAAGCATCTTAAAATCTGGTTTTAGAATTTATTATCTGACCATTTGGTTTTGATTATATTTTAATGGTAGATTTATCTTCACAATTAAGTTTTCCTAAATATGTTCTTAAATTAGTTTTCCTATACCACTTATGCTAGAAATTATGGCCCAGAAACACACTGAATGACATGGCAAATAATATAGATATTAAAATTTTACAAAAGATATCCTACCCATTAAATAATTTACATTTTGAAATCTGAGAATAATCTGGAATAACTTCATACATATCAAGTATTACATTTTTTATTGTTTGTTTTATTTTAAACTAATCCCAAATGCTAATATACCTACACAAAACAAATACTGGTGAACTTAGATGAGCTGACTTCTAAAATACTAGTTAAAGAAGCCAGGCATGGTTGCACATGCTGTAATCTCAGCACTCTGGGAGGCTGACACAAGAAAAGGCAAGTTTGAGCACAAACCTGAGCAATCTGGCTACTTAGTGAGACCCTGTTTCAAAATTTAAAGAAAATTAAGAAAGGCTGGGGATATAGCTCATTACAAGGCCTGGGTTTAATCTTCAGTACCAAAATGAAAAAGACAGAAACAAAAAAAGGAATTATGTTATTTTCTGCAATAAGGATCATCATGTCTTTTGTGTTAGAATTATATTCTTCTTCTTTATTTAGCTTGTCTATATTGGTGATCTGATGATGAAAGAACAATATTTAATATTTCAAATCTTCTAACTTCTTTCTATTCATTTATCATATGTGATAGTATATTCTTTATCTATATTATGCTGTTTTTCTACAAACAACTTCCAAATTTAACTGTTTTAGCTGAGTAGAACAACCTGTAGTATTTTTATAGAATTTATGAAATAGCTGGGGATGTAGCTCAGTGGCACAAGCGCCTGCCTGGCAAGCGCAAGGTCCTGAGTTTGATTCCCGGTACCAAAACCAAACCAAACAAAAACAAGCAAATAGAATTTATGAAATAGAGTGAATATTTTGATGTAAGATGGAGCTTCTATTTCACTATTTAGTTTTTAAATGACTTACACTCATTGCACATTAATTTGCATTCTTTGCTTAACAGCTTCAGTTTCTTGTTTTCATCAACCTATACTTAGAATATAGGGTTCCATCATATGATATGGTTTAAGAGAATCTCTATACAAGCTATTTCCCCAAAACCTGTTGTAATGCCTAAAAATTCACCATGGAGATTTAATCCTTTGAAAATAATTGTGGAACAATTCTTTTCTGGAAACATGAGGCTTCTTCTAAAGTAGGCCCCCACTCCTTCTAAAGTACCCTGCACCATCTTAAATTAGTAAGTTTCCACAACTTTGTGCAGAACACTGTATAATTTAGGCTGGTGTTGAACTTATAACATGCTCTATACCCCAGGCTGGCTGCAGTAGTCAGCCTCCCCAGTGCTAGAACAATTACATGACACCCACACTTTAAAGGAAGAGCAGTTTATTTGGCTCAGGATTTTCAAGGATTCAGTCCATGGTCAGCTGGCTCTAAGGAAGGAATATTGTAATGGAAGGGTGTGGCAGAGCAAAAGCTTCTCAGTTTCTGATGGCCTACAAGGTCAGGACTCCAAGACCCGCCAGAGACACCTAGAAGTAAATGTGCTTTACTAATCCCGTAGGCAATTCCCAAACCAATCACATTGGCAGTTAGCTTTAACTGGCAATACTGGCCTTGAACTTGAGATCCTCCTACCCGAGCCTCCTTAAGTGCTGAGACTGTGGGTGTGCATCGGCACATCTGGTTCATAATAGCTACATTTCTAGAGAATTTATATGAAAACCACAAAAAGCCTTCCAATCCCTTTATAAGTAAAATGGAGTTTGTCCTGGGTTCAGATCATTATAAACAAAGTATTCTGTTTGTACAGGTGGACATGTGATTTTCTGTTTTTGTAGTGCTAGAAATTGAACCCAGGGTTGCAGGAATGCTAGGCAAGTGCTCTACAACTGACTGCCCCCCCAGCCTTCAGAGGGACATTTGGAAATCATATAGGATGCGTCCTGCTATATACAGGGCCTTCCTGAACCCTAGTATCCTCACTTATTCCAAATACCACTTCAAACTTCCCCCAGCCCCATGACTGTGATGTCCAAAAACCTTCCCTATCAGCTCAAAAATATTCCCAACCATAATACAGCCACCACTGTAGCCACCACTGTAGAAAACATTTTAAAGATCGCCTATTGCTCCTTTGAGTTCATATGGTACTACTAGAGTACCAACTGTTCACTAAATTCAAGGACAAAAATCTAAGTTACTGAACAATCATGATAGGAACCACTTACTAAGAGTTCAGAATGCTTCTGAAATTTTATTGGTATTTGCCTATATGACACTGACAACCACAATATAAGGTAAGCATTATTATTTTTTCCCCATTATTCAGATGAGAAACCTGAGATTCAAAAAGATGCAGTAACTTCTACAAGGTTACCAGGATCCAAATGCAGGTCTTAATTTTTTTTAAATCCCTGTGCTAAATTGCCACAGAGGTAAGTGGGTAATCCTGGCTATTCAGCAGGCTGAGGGAGGGGGATCATAAATTCGTGGCTAGCCTGGGAAAATTAGTGAGAACTTCTGCTAAATAAAGACTGTAGATGTACCTCAGTGGTAGAGCCCTTGCCTAGCATGGGTGAAGCCTTGAATCCTATATTCAGCATGGGGAGGGATATCCTCAAGCTTAGCCACTACAATATATTGCCAAATATAGTTATTACTTCTTAGAGTAGCCAGCCTCTCTTGTGTTCATACTTCAATTTTTTTTTTAACATTCTGATGCAACTTCCCTTTACAAATGCCTTTCCTTTTTGATCTTTGTGGAACAATTCTTTTCTGGAAACATATGAGGTTGTTCCCCTCCTTCCTCCCCTTGCCTTTTAAAGTGGAGATCTGTGCTAGATTGGATCTGCTTTGATTGGTTCTAATTAATGTCCCTACCCTAAGGCTGTCTCTGAATGACTGACTCAATATAACTAATCCCATTCCATTTTTAAAGGAGCTTGAGAATTTTTAACCTGAACCAACTTGTCTAAAGAGTATACTGTTTCATATACTTTGCCTCCTTTTCCTCACTAGCTGTTTGCTTTTTTTTTTTTTTTTTTTTTTTTTTGGCTTCCACCCTCACTATTTTCATCTGAAAATATTGTTTCTGTAGTTAGGAATGACCTCCTCCTTAGTGCAATCATTTCTTCTCTCAATTATTAGAGTGGAAGTAATTTCAAGACAAAGCATCTATGCCACTTTGTTTCTTCTACGATACATTGTAAAAAGAGTAAATTCATAGTAACTTCTGCTGAGTGGTTTCCATGAAGCTGAGTTCAATCTCATTTACCACAAATTAGAAACTAAACATGAACAGATTTTTGCCATAGTTTGGATGTGGAATGTCTCCCAAAGGCCCATGTGGTATTAACAGCTTCTCCCTGTCATGGCACTATCGGGACAAGGTGGAAACTGTAAGGTAGAGCCCAGTGAGAGATCCTAAGGTCATTGAGGTGAGCTCACACAGGGATTGTGGGAGAGCTGCGGCACAGCTCTGTGGTATAGCATATGCTTAGAGTGCATGAGGCCCTAGGTTCAATCCCTGGCACACAACCCACCCCAACCCCCAAACAAACAACAGAGATTGTAAAGCCCTGGTCTCTTCCTCTTTCTCTTTCACTTCCTGGCCATGAGGTGTTTTTGCTCTGCGATGAGTTCCTGCATGAAGCACTGCGACAGGCCTAAAGCAATGGAGACAATTGATCATGGGCCGAAACCTCTAAAAGTATGAGCAAAAACACTTTCTACTTATAAATTGATTATCTCAGTTATTTGTGATAGTAATGGAAAGCTGATAAACACAGACTTTGTCATTTAGATTCTTTGTGGAGCTTTCCCCTACACCTGTAAAATGAGGCTAGTATTCCTCATTTATGGGGTTGTTGTAGAGATTCAATGAGTTGATATTTGCATATGTTGTTAGGATTACATCAGCACACAGGATACATTTAAAAAGAATAGCTTCTCTCCTCAATTCTTTACACAGAATCTTCTTCACTTCATGAGCTCAGCTGTGGTTTAAGTATGGCTTGTACTCCCCTTCCCCTGAATTCATGCACTACATGTTCATGCTAATGTAATTAAGAGAGTGGAAACTTGATCTGATTAGTATTTGGGGAGGTGCTTTGGGAAGTGATTAGATTAGACCATTAGGGTGGGTCCCCACAAATGAATACTGCTGGCTTTATGCGAGAGAGACAGACAGACAGATACAGACAGATAGACGATGGGTCCCCATAACAGTATGATGCAGCCAAGTGGGACACTTGCTAGAGCCAACACAATGCGGTTTGAACTTCGAGCTTTCAAAATTGTAAGCTCAGTAAACCTCCTGTCTTTACAAAATTTGCCTGTTTGGCATATGTAGTTATAGTAATGAAGAGCTGACCAATACAAGTACTTTTTTTTTTTTTTTTAAGGAAGGAGAGTTTTATTTAGTTCACAGTTTGTGGAGGTTTCAGTCCATAATCAGCTGGCTCCAAGGCAGAGTGGCACATGGCGGAGGGCAACAGTTCATGGCGGTGGAAGACAGCAAAAGCAACAAGAGCAAAAAGGGAGGAGTGGCACCAGTACAAGTACTTTGAAACAAAATGTGGGGATTCAATTTTGAACCTATGTACATACACTTTTTATCTTTCTCAATTATGTCTACATGGAATTTGGTGGGATATCTGAATACAATGAACAATTTTTAGTCTTATATAATTATTATTTTTGAATATATACAGAGTCCATTTCTCTAGGAAGAAAATGGGAAAGTAGAGAACAGTGCTTTCATGGTGAGGAACCAGCTTTCCCACACATACTGTGTATCTCTTGGAGGAATGTTTAGCATATTGTGTTGTAATGCCACTACTCTGCCAACCCATGAGCATAAGGCCTCAGACCTGCACATAGAGTCTCCTCTAGAGAACTAGGACTATTTGGTTGACACTGGCCAAGCAGAGAAGCCAGTCTGCACGCAGGATGTTTTACTAAATAGGTGAAGCCAAAACTGACATGGCATGAGAGTTGATTGCCAAAGATCAAGGAGTCAGCATGTTTGGAAATGTACTCTTAGGTAATTGCCGCTAAAGATGAATCTCCTCTCCTGAGGTGCCATATGGTGTCAGTAAGAGAGTTAAAAATGAAGGACATGGTTTTCAACTGTCTTCTGTGCTTCCCCTAGTGTAGTACATGAGCTTTGGAGAGTTGTATAACTTAAACCAAATTATGCAAATTTATATTTAGGTGTATTACTCTTTCTATTTCTTTCTTGCCCTTCTCATTCTTCTTCTAAGTTAGCATATAACTATATGCCTAAGTTGGCTTCTAAACTCTGGGTTTAAGAAATCCTCCCACTTCAGCATCCTGAGTAACTTGGACTGCAGGCATATACCATTCTGACTACTTTTTTGTTTTTGTTTTTTTTAATGATGGTGATAAAACCCAGGTGAGTGCTTTACCACTAAGTTATACTCCCAGCCCCCTCTCTGATCTTCTTTTATGAGGTGAGGTACTGGAAGTAGAACACAGGAGCACTCTACCATGAGCTACCTCCCGGGCCTTTTCATTTTTTATTTTGAGACAGAGTCTTGCAAGGTTGTCCATTTTAGGCTGGCTTTGAACTTGCAATCCTCTTGTCTCAGCCTCCTGAGTAGACAATGATAAGCATATACAGTGCACCCAGCTTTTCCTTAGTCCTAAATAAACTACAGTATTTTAATTTTTACTTCAAGGAACCAGATGGTCATTTGTCTGTACTTGGTCCAGAATGCCAACCAGAGGAACTGCAACCCCAGACGCCCAGTGTGTTTGTCTCTGTGACAGTCAGTTTAAAGTCCCCAAAGGCAAGGGAAAAACAGGACTATGTGGCCCAACTGTCTCCTGATCATCTGGAAATTTTCCTCCTAATGCTAAACTTGGCAGACCTGGGTTGTATTTTTATAGGAAAAACAGAAACCTAATACATATGATTCATTGCTCTATCCTTAGAACCTTTCTAGCACATCATGCTCACTAACAACTTGTAGAAGGTATAAATGAGCGAGTATATGTTTATTAAACTGTGTCTTTCTGTGTCCCTTTCACTGTATTTCATAGCCAGTATGAGGTGTTATAGAAAATTATAGTGAATGCTTAAATTTTTAAAAATTTATTACAGTAAATAACATTGCCATTAATTCCCCTCAAAACACTCCTCCTTGCTTAAAATCCCATCATTCTTGCTACCTTCCAAAGCAATTCTGGAAGTTCTTGTTCATGAGTGTTTTAAGTTGCACTGTTGTGGCTGCCTCAATGTCCTGAAAGGATTCAAAATGTTTACTTTTCATGGTCACATTTTGACTTTGGGGAAGAGCCAGAAGTCATATGGTAACATTCGTCATATGTTTTGTCACAGCTGCGTATGCTATAGTACAAGTAACATTATTCGTACCCAGGTCAACACCCACTCTACACCGTCTATAACATGGAAACTGAGCTTAGGAGCTCTGGAGGACACAAGAACGGATAAGACATGGTACCTTGCTTTAGGAGCTAAAAGTCTAGTGGAAGAGAGACATGGAAATAAATAACTCTCTTTAAAATGTAACCTCAGGGATGTCTGTAGTTCCTTAGCTCATTACTGTTCTCTCTTTTTGTGAGCATTTTTCAATTTCACTCTCCCCGAAGAGCACTTGTGCTTTTGTATCTCGTCTTCCCTGCCTGAGTCCCTCCCTCGACACCATCCTCATATTCCTTCATATCAGCCATTCTTATTACTCTAATAGCTCTTTCCTCTCTCTTTTAAATAAGCTTTGAGTTTGTCCTTCTTGACTGAAGAAAAGACTTCCCTGGAGGCTTTTCTTTGATTATCTTTCAAGTTCAGTTTCTTTTCATTTTCTTTCCAGTTTCTCTGTACTTCAAGTTGGCTGTTCTTAACTCTTGGTAGAATTGCCCTTTCTAAAGTTTTCCCAGAAGATATTTATCTGGTGTAGGGTTTTTTATTTGTCTGTTCTTTGTTTCTGGTGGGGTGGGGATGTTGAACTCAGGCTATACACCAGCTAAACATGAGCTCTGCTACTGAGGAGCTATAATCCCAGCCCCTTTAGAAGATATTCAGTAAATAAATGCTTTATAAGTAAAGCGGAAAGTCTGTGCCTAATGTGTTGGGCTCCCCACCCCTTAACACATGATATATTAAGAAACTAGTTAAGGGGCTGAGGATATAGCTCAGTGGCATAAGCACCTGTCTGGCAAGTGCAAAGTCCTGAGTTTGATCCCCTGTACTGCCAAAAAAAAAAAAAAAAAAAAAAAGAAACTAGTTAAAATTCTTAAGGGTGGACATATCCAGACTGACTCATAGACAATATATATTTTCTCATTAAAACCAGATGCATGTAGTGGCACATGCCTATAATCCCATTACTTGGGAGGGAGGCTGCAAGGAAGATTGCTGCAAATTTGAGGCCAGCCTGGGCTACCTAGTGAGTTCAGGGCCAGTTTGAACTGCATACTAAGATACTGTCTCAAAACACACACACACACACACACACACACACACACACACACACACACACATACCAACAACAATAAAACAGATGAAACAATAAATAGAGTTACTCAGAATCTGAATTGTATAGCAAAGTTTCAGTAAAATGAATTAAGGCAAAAAAAATGCTATTTAAAGGTTTCCAGTTTTGTTGAGAAAAAAAGGAATAAATGAAAAAAAAAATGAACAAAATATTATTTTGCATGTTAGAAAATATTTTATTTTTAATTATAATTGTGTAGTACTTATAATTTATGAACTTTTTATGTACAATCAGCTCATTTGATTTTCAAAGTTGTGAAGAAATCAAGTTTTATCATAACTAAGAGAGGAGCTCAGTGGTAGAGCAGTGCTTCACAAGCGTGAGGCCCTAGGTTCAATCCCTAGCACCAAACAGAAAAAAAGACAAAAAGAATAAAAAAGAAAGCTTGAGGTCAAATGAAGTCTCAGGCTAGTAAGTTCTCCTTGTACGCAGCAGATCTAGACCTCAAATCCAGATATTCTTACCTTTAGGATCTGAGCCTTCTGCTTCTTCCTGTTATACAAGAATGAGTTATTTCAGGCCGGGCCTGGTGGCACACACTTGTAAACTCAGTACTTGAGGCCAGAAGGATTACTGCAAATCCAGAGCCAACCAGGGCTATACAGTGAGTTCACGACCAGCTTGCACTACATAGGGAGACCCTGTCTCAAAAAACAAAAAGCCATTTATATTTGCCTTTAAATGGGCCTCTACCTAGTTGAAATCTCTGAATCACAATTTCTATTATAGAATTAATTTCCATTAAACTTTTGACTGAAAATTAATCTACCTCTGAAGCAGGACGGAACTTTTTGCCACAGAGAAACCAAATCGTAGCAACCACTAATGCACACAGTGCTATTTGAAGAGGAAGAACTGGAAGCCCCAAGAAATGGCCTCTAGATCTAAATAATTGTACTGGATTGTAAGAGAGCTTTTAATGAGCTCTCTTTCTAACACTCCCTCAGTGAGCACTTTCCAAATTGTCTATGTCCATGACTTAACACGCTACATGAATGTATCAGAGAGTTATGAAGTGAACAGAATGACGGCTTGACTCTTCAATGAAGTTTTGCATTTTATCAAATATTTGGAGTGACAATACAGGGTAGCTTGATACTTTTTTTCTATTTGTTTTCCTTCTCCTCCTCCTTTTTATTTTTCTTTCTTTTTCTTTTCTTTTTCATTTTTT